AAGGTCCCCCTCCTTCCTTCTTTCCCTCTCTCCTTCCGGTGAGGTAACTTATCTGTAGCGAAGTGGAGGGGGCTGGGCTTTCTGTCGGCTGTGTCCCTGCCGTGGACATTCTAAGGCCTCAGGAGTCACTTCACGCACTCCACGTCACCGTTGCGGCAGGCCTGGAAGAGCTCGCGGGTAGGCTCCAAGAGGAGGGAGGAGGAGGAGGAAGAGACGCCGCTGAAGCAGGACGGCGAGGAGGGGAGCAGCGACTCTGCCTCACCCGCACCCCTCCGCCCAGCCATGCCTTCTCCGCCTCTCCTCCTCCCGACGCTCCCACTCACACCCGGCATAGAAAGAAGAAAGAAGCCTCCGCCTCAGCGGCCCCGGTGGGTGGGGAAGCGGAACAGCCAGGGTGTGCGCGCATAGGGGGGAGGGGGGAGAGAGGACTCGCAGGGAAAAGGGTTGAGGGAGGCAGGCAGGCAGCAGTGCGCATGCGGGCGCAGAGGAAGCAGAGTCCTTCCTCCTCGTATGCTCTGCGCATGCCCCGTCTATTTTGTGAATTGTGAGTTTGTTGTAATGTTGTTTGGAATTTTGATTCAGGTTGTGCATACCTTGTGGGTTGACGTATGTGCACGGCAAATTTGGTGAGTTTTCGTCGGGAGGTTTTCACGTTTTGCTGTCCCGTTGAACGCCCTTTCCATTTATATATATATAGATGACGTCCTTCAAATAGGAGCTCCAGGTTCCTGAATTTGCAAGACAGGGTGAGCTCCCATCTGTCAGCTTCAGTTCCCCATGCGGGGACACGAGAGAAGCCTCCCACAGGATGGTAAAACATCTGGGTGTCCCCTTAGCAACTTCCTTGCAGATGGCCAGTTCTAACACCAGAAGTGACCTGCAATTTCTTAAGTCGCTTCTGACATACACACAAACCTTTTGAGTCTTTCTTTTTCCTGCTGCTTTCTACCTTACAAAGTGTTATTGTTTTTTCTCAGTACATAATGTATTTCTATGCAGTTTATCTCACCCTTCAGTGAATTGAACCCCATTGCTTGTCCATCCGAACCTCCCACCAGATACATTCCCTACTCATCTATCTTACCCAGGGTTTTAAAAATCTTATCCGTTGTACTTGGCGCTGTCCCCGTGGTTCAATGTCTTTGTTATTTATGTTATATTCTGTGTTTATTTTGTATTATTTTCTTTGATTTATTTTATTGTATTTTATTCCATGTATTATTTTAGAATTCTATGTTGTATTCTTTTGCTTTGTTGTAATTGTTGGGCTTGGTTTCATGTTAGGCATCCACAACATTCACAGAATTCTTCTCCAGCACCACATCTCACATGAGCAGGTGATCTTCCTATTCATTTTCCCCCATTGTACCACTTTCAGAGCCATATATAGAAATGGGAAATATGATGGCGTGGACCATCCTAACTTTAGTTCTTAGTAATATGTAGTTACACTTCAAGGTTTTGTCCAGTTCCTTCATAGGTAGCCTTTCAAATCCTAACTTCAATCATATTTTGTTCTAGCTTCTTAATAGGGTTATTTGCCTCATAATAGTGTGCCATCAATTTAAACTAAGCAACACGATGCAAAACTTACCAACTAGATTCATATGGGATTTATGATACTATGTTCAGGTGATAGTTATTTATGGCTAACATTCACAATGACTATATATTACCTCCAGAACTAGAGTAATTCTCCAGTTCTCTCGATTGTTGGAAAATAGACTGTTGTCATGCTTGCGGATTTTCATAGTCAGCCATTGTGAGAAAAGAATGGCACAAGCCAGGCCCGTAGCCAGGATTTCGATTCGGGGGGGGGGGGGGTGAGTTTTGGGGGGCGGGGGGGGGGTCTGAGTCTGAGTGAAAGAGGGTCTACCCTAGCAAACCTTTTGTATCATTACCCCAATACCCCCATGCATATGGGATATATTGAGTATAGTGATCAGATCATGATATGAATAAACATAACAGTTTAAATAATGCACCAGTAAGGCCTTTTTGCGAACCACCATGAGAATTTCGGGGGGGGGGGGGCTGAAGCCCCTCAAGCCCCCCCCCCCCCGGCTACGTGCCTGGCACAAGCACTCTTTGCCAACAAAGGCTCAAGGCCTATTAAAACTATAACCCCCATGATTCCATATCATTGAGCCACAGCAGTTAAACCTAGTTACAAACTGTATTAATTCTCCAGTGTAGATGCACCCACTGTGAGCTTTGGTAAACCTGATGGTCATGTTTGAATATTTGAAAGGATGTCACATTGAAGAGGGGGCAAGTTTGTTTTCTGATGCTCTCTAGCAGGGATCCCCAAATGAAGGCCTGCAGACTGGATGCCATTCTCCAAGATAATTTGCCCAGCCCTCGCCCTATATAGGATCCAGGGAAGTCATGCTGCCTCTATTCTGCCTTGGTCAGACCACACCTGGAATACTGTGTTCAATTCTGGGCACTGCAATTGAAGGGAGATGTTGACATGCAGGAATGTGTCCAGAGAGGGTGATTAAAATGATCAGGGATCTGGAGAACAAGCCCTATGAGAAGCAGCTTAAAGAGCTGGACATGTTTAGCCTTCAGAAGAGAAGGTCATGTATAAATAGGTGAGGGGAAGTCATAGGAAGGAGAGAGCAGGCTTGTTTTCTGCTGCCCTGGAGACTAGGACATGGAACATGGCTTCAAACTACTGGAAAGGAGATTCCACCTGAACATTGGGAAGAACTTCCTAACTGTGAGAGCTGTTCAGCAGTGGAACTCTCTGCCCCGGAGTGTGGTGGAGGCTCCTTCTTCGGAGGCTTTTAAACAGAGTCTGGATGCCCATCTGTCAAGGGTGCTTTGAATGCAATTTTCCTGCTTCTTGGCAGGGGGTTGGACTGGATGGCGCATGAGGCTCCTTCCAACTCTATGATTTTATGATTCTATACTTGGGACTTAGGCTTGTCCTAAGTGTGAAACAACTTGAAGGCACACAACAACCACAGTCCTAATTAACTTGACTATCTCATCTGCCCAAAGTATACTGGAATATACTGGAAGTTTATGTTGGTCAAAACTGTTCTTCATTTTAAACATTGTATTGTTCTTTCATGTTTTCTCGCAGGACAAATAAGAAGTGTGCAAAGGAATGCATTTGTGTTTTTTTCAAACTGTAGTGCAGACCCCCAACAGTCTGAGGACTCTTCCAGGCAGGGTAAATTCCCAAAGGAACTGGGATTCTAAATGGCTATGAAAACAGATAAGTCTTGCTTCTCCAACGTTCTGTATTATCCAGCGCAGTCTGCCACCTGCCCAAATCCACAGCTGTTTCAATTAATTGCAATGTTTTGGTGCTAAATTCATAAATACAGTAATTACTACATAACATTACTGTGCATTGAACTACTTTTTCTGTCAATTTGTTGTAAAACATGATGTTTTGGTGCTTAATTTGTAAAATAATAATGTTATTTGATGTTTAATAGTTTTTTTCCTTAATCCCTCCTTGTTATCCAACATTTTTGCTTATCCAACATTCTGCCTGACCGTTTGTGTTGGATAAGCAAGACTCTACTGCACTGGGATCCCAGAAGTGTCCGTTTCCCCAGAGATCCCATACCTCCAAAGATCCAGGTGATCAGGGAAGGTCTGGATATTTAGAGAAATTTCTTTATCATGCTTTGGGGCTGTTTCTCTGCAAAGGGACCAGGGCGACTGATCCATATACATGAAAGAATGAATGAGGCCATGTATTGTGAGATTTTGAGTGCAAACCTCCTGCCATCAGCAAGGGCACTGAAGATGAAACTTGACTGGGTCTTTCAGCATGACAATGATCCCAAGCACACCACCAGGGCAACGAAGGAGGGGTTTCCTAAGAAACATTTCAAGGTCCTGGAGGGGCCTAGCCAGATCTCAGCCCTATAGAAAACCTTTGGAGGGAGTTGAAAGTGTGTGTTGCCCAGTGACAGCCCAAAACATCACTGCTCTTGAGATCAGCGTGGAAGAATGGGCCAACATACCAGCAACAGTGTGTGCCAACCTTGTGAGGACTAACGGAAAACATTTGACCCCTGTGATTGCCAATAAAGGATATATATCAAAGTATTGAGATGAACTTTTGTTATGGACCAAATACTTATTTTCCACCATAATTTGCAAAGAAATTTGTTAATGTGATTTTCTGCATGTGTTTTCTCATGTTGTCTCTCATAGTTGGGGTCCACCTATGATGTCAATTACAGGCCTCTCTCATCTTTTGACATGGGAGAACGTGTACAATTGGTATCTGACTAAATACTCTCCCCCCCCCCCCACTGTATCTGTGGATTGGCTGCTTTAGATTATGCTAGATCAGGCCAGGGCAAACTTGGGTTCTCCAGGTGTTTTGGACTTTGCAAAAGAAAAGGGCTTGAGACTGTTAGGAATGGTGGGAGTTGCAGTCCAAAATACCTGGCGAGCCCAAGTTTGCCCATGCCAGATCTAGTATAATTAAGCACCCCCAGGTCCAAATGTTTTGGTGGGATCATTTTGCCTACCCTTTGAATCTGTTGCTATAGAGCAGGGGTCCTCACACTTTTTAAAGATGAGGCCCAGTTCACAGTCCCCCAGTTCATGGCCCCATCCACACAGCCCTGACTAAATGCTCCCCCCCCCCACTATATATGGACCCTAGTTTTTCCTAGTTTCCAACAGACCTCACAACCTCTGAGGATGCCTGCCATAGATACAGGCAAAACGTCAGGAGAGAATGCTTCGAGAACATGGCCATATAGCCCTAGAAACGTACAACAACCCAAAAGCAACCAAGTTTGGGGTGTCCAACTCTGGGAGAGGCTCCCAACAGGTGAAGAAGGAGGAAGAGGGAGACTCTGTTGCCTCTTGGGACTCGCTTTCTGCTGCTGGAAAGTTTCCTGTCTGAGCGGGAGGGGAAAGGAGAAGCGGCGGGGGAAGGAAGGAGGGACGGAGGGAGGGGAAGGAGGAAGGAGGCGGGCTTCCCCGCCACATTGTTGCAGCTCAGCCTCACCAGGCGCCTCCCTCCTTCCCTCCCTCCCTGGCGACTCCGATCCGGCCCTTTGCGCTCCTGACCGCAGTTTGCTTCTCGCCGCCGCTGTTTGCAAGCCGAGCAGAAACCCAGTTGGAGCCGAGTCCAGTTTGCGCTCCTCACCTGGCGGCGCTTTCCTGAACCGAAATGGGGGTCTGGCTCCGGATCGGCGGGGCTTAGCCTTCCCTCGTCGCCCTCCTTCCCTTCCCTTCCCTTCCCTCCCCGCTCCTTCCCTCTCTCTCAAGCCCAGCACCGAAGTTGGGAAAGTTGGGAAACTCTGGGCGCTCGGCGGTGGCTCTCTCTCTCTCCGCTCGCCTTCAGCATCATGGCGAGCAGGACAGCGGAGAAGGAGAAGAGGGAGGCCCCGGGCTGGTTGGGGAGCCCTTCCCGCCGCCTCCCCTGTATTGCTTCCCCTTGGACGAGGCTGCTGTGCTTGGCGCTGCTTTGGAGGCTCTGCGCCGCCGAATTTTCCATCTTGGACGAGGCGCAAGTGCTGGCCACGCAGATGAGGAAGCTGGCCGCCGAGGAGCTCGGAGTGGTCACCATGCAGGTAAGCCTCCTCTCTTCCCTTGGACTTTCCTTTCTTCCCTTCTCCTCCTTCCTTTCTTCTTCTTCCGCTCCCACTTTTCCTCTCCAGGCTGTACTTTCCTTCCTCCCCTAAGCGAGAAATGGCTCTCCAGGCGGCGAGGAGCCTCCTTCATCGACGCGGCGCGTCTCTCTTTCTTCCCCGCTCCCCAAGGAGAGAGGTTTCCAGGCAGCAGGAGGGTCGCCTTCACGCCTTGCCTCCCTCCCTCTCTCCCCACTTCCCTGACTCCTGAATCCCTTCTCCGCCTCTCCGCCTGGATGAATGCTCCTGAAACCTGATCCCCTCCTTTCAGGCGCTTGCCTCCTGGGCAGAGATACTTTCAGGCTGGGGGAGAAGGGAGGGCAGGCTTGGAAGAAAAATAAAGGGGGGTTTGGGGCCATCCTTGCCTCCCCCCCCCCCAAGACCTGCCTCGGTTGGAGAGGGCCATTCTGGAAGCCCCGCTCACTCACCAGGCCAAAGCTCTGCACAAAGACGGAGAACAATTCAAAGCTGCGGGGGGGGGGGGGGGGGGGGCTCTGAAGTTTCGATGGCGGATGGGAGGCAAAGTCAAGACAACTTTGCAAACAAGTGGAGTGAGATTTTATTGTCCAGGAACCTTGTTCTTCCCTTGGAGAAGAGGTTTGAACTCCAAAGGCTTGCATTAAAATAGATGAGACATTCTTTTATTTGGAACCCAACTTGGAAAGGGAGCACAGCATTGCATCTTGAGAAGAAGAAGAACCAATATGTAGTGGAAGGCTTTCATGGCCTGAATCACTAGGTTGCTGCGAATTTTACAGAGCGTATACTACTACTACTACTACTAATAATAATAATAATAATAATAATAATAATAATATAACAATAATAATAACAACAACTGGAAAAGCTGACACGATATGAGGATTTAAAGATTGAACTGCAAAGACTGGCACAAGTCAAGGTGGTCCCAGTGCATAAAGACCTTGGCCTGCACTTAAACACAATCAGCGTTGACAAAATCACCATCTGCCAGCTGCAGAAGGACCTTACTGTGTGATGTATTCGTTGATACATCACACAGTCCTAGACACTTGGGAAGCGTCGGACATATGATCCAATACAACAGCCAGCAGAGTGATCTTGTCTGTTGTGGTCTCATCTTGTTGTGTTTCAAATAATAATAATAATAGTAATATTTATTTATATCCCGCTACCGTCTCCCCAAAGGGGACTTGGGGCAGCTAACTGTATAGTCATGTTCCAGAAGCATTCTCTCCTGATGTTTCGCTTGCACTTATGGCAGGCATCCTCAGAGGTAATGAGGTCTGTTGGAAACTAGGCAAGTTGGATTTATATATCTGTGGAATATCCAGGGTGGCATTCTCTCCTGAAATTTCGCCCACATCTATGACAGGCATCCTCAGAGGTTGTGAGGTCTGTTAGAAACTAGGCAAGTGAGGTTTATATATCTGTGGAATGTCCACAGTGGGAGAAAGAACTCTTTGTCTGTTTGGAGGCAAGTATGTGAATGCTGCAATTGGCCAGCTTGATTAGCATTGAATAGCCTTGCTATTCTGGCTACAAGTATTAAAAAAACCTTCTAGAATTAGGACAGTAAATAAAAGAGCAACACTAAAAAAACGGGAATTCAATCAGGGCCAAACAGCAACCAGCAAGGCTTTGAAGCTGCAAGAGCATTCAGTGCTAATCAAGGTGGCCAGTTGCAACATTCACACTTGCCTCAAGCAGACAAGAGTTCTTTCTCCCACCCTGGACATTCCACAGATATATAAACCCCACTTGCCTGGTTTCCAACAGACCTCACAACCTCTGAGGATGCCTATCATAGATGTGGGTGAAACGTCAGGAGAAAATGCTTCTGGAACATGGCCATGTAGCCTGGAAAACTCACAGCAACCCAGTGATTCTGGCCATGAAAGCCTTCAACAACACAATCACCAAGATGTTTTCATATCCATTTATATCAATTATCACCAAATATTACTTTCACTAAATGCTTTCATGCTGAATGACTAGCATGGCTTGGTTCAGATTGGGAATGCTCATCTGATATTGTAACATTTGCATTTTTCATAAACTAAAAGGCACAGGATGGGATTTTTTTTTATTTGCAGTATTTGCATATTGCCCTTCTCAACCCTGAAGGGAATTCAGGGCGGTTCACAGTGTTGGAAACACTTAAATGCCATTGATAAAAACAGTATAAAACATCAAAATTGACCCTCCCCTGATGCAGATGTAGTAGGCAAATAATTGGATTCATCAATGGAAACATGCAGAGGATAGCGACAATACACTTTGGCAGATTTAAGAAAAGCATTTTGTAAGTTGATTGCTTCATTCCACAAACTGGGTTCTCTGGCAAATGGAGAATTTTTTCTAGTTCAGAGGAAAATGAGATGATTCTGTAATAATAGTCTATTGCTGTCTTTTGTGGTTGCATATTAATGACAGTTGGACTATTGTGTTTTCTGTAAAGGAGGCTAATAGCTGTGTTACAGCAGCCAAGGGCAGCCTCTCTTAACAAAACAACAAAAAAAGTGAAATTGGATCCCAAACACACTGGGAATGCAAGGTAGGGTCAGTGGCAAAGGCTGGCTTGAAAGCCTCCTAGATTGAAAAGGAGACACATCTATGGAAGCAGCAGGGGTCTGAGCCCAAATGGCCCTTTATCTTCTTCAAACCCCTCCCTTCCACTGTCTTTTGAAATATTATTGTTTGGACTCCCTCCTAGGGCTTTGTCAGGGTGTCTCTTCCTCTCCTTGATAGCAAGAAGCCCTGCATTAAAATGACTTTGCTTAACTAGGCAGATCGTAGTAAATTATTGATGTTCTGAACATGGAGCATTTAGAAGTCACTTGTTTTATCCCACAAGAGTTAATGGCATATTCTCTCTAAACCTCCATCCAAGGCCCCTTCCACACAGTCATATAAACCAGAATATTCAGGCAGGAAATCTCACAGTATCTGCTTTGAACTGGGATATATGGCTGTGTGGACTCAATTCAAAGCAGATATTGTGGGATTTCCTGCCTTGATATTCTGGGTTATATGGCTGTGTGGAAGGGCCCCAAGGAATTTCTGTGGTTGTGGAAATTCAATTTGGGGAATTCTTTCTGTTCTTTTATGTACCGTACAATTAAAATGGATCCCTCATTTTCCTTATTAGTATTTCTCTCCTTATTATGCATGCATGAAGTAATTATTTTAGAAATCAGAGCACAGTGCATGCATACCAGCTGAATGTTTTTATTTTTCGTGTTAAGCACAGTTGTTTGACAGCATATTTCCCAGGAAGAATTGTAACTTTTCAAGATTGATGAGCTTGAGGAAGAATGTGTGATGCAGATTAGACAGACAGCATCTTATTATTAGTTGTCAAGGGCGAAACCAGATGTCATAAGTACAATCAAGTTGGTTATTTTAATTTTAAAGTGCTGCTTTAAAAGATGTTGTTTGCCTTACATTTCTTTCAGCTTGAAATGAGTGACAGTAAATGTGCTCTGATTTTATACATACATTTTATTGTTTAGGTTCTACAATTTGGAATATGACTATTTATATCTCCTTACCTCTTTGAAACAATTTGTTAATTTAGATATGGGTTGTTCTCATGTGGTAGTCAAATATGTCATTGTTGAAGATCTGTAGGTGTGAATATAATGTAACATACGATTGCTCTATACTCCTCAGTCTAGAAAGGTATGGTTGTTTATCTCATACAACTGGGATATATTAAAAAGGAAACAGAAGGTTTAGAGCAGAAGAGCTTTATGTAGTCTCTTTATGAGTCTTTTTCTTTGAGTGGGGCAGAATGGAAGAAGGCCTGGCGTTTGAGACAGACGTAAAGGAAATAATAAGGACAAAGTCTAGAAGAGTGAGTAGTGGCATAGGAAATGTAGAAAGGAGCGAGGACCAGATTGCAAGGAGCTTAAATGTGAAATCCATCTGGTTATTTCAAATGCATGGAACAATGGTCAGAAGGGCAGGAGGAGAAGGAAATGCAGCTTATGACCACTCAGTAAGAGTTGGATTGATTGCAGAAGTCAAGGTAGATGTTTACTGAAAATGGAGCAGTTCACATCATGGTGTTAGAGAAAGGTGACTGAATTAAAAGGATGTGAAGCAACCAAGATAGTAGGAAAATGGAAGAGTGAGTTGACACTCCCAGGTTCATAGAACAAATGATGAAAGCATGGAAGTGGTTGTCTGCAATGTGGTTGATTTGAAAGGCATAGGATGGCTTTATTTCCTTTCTTGAGGACTCACCAATATTGTGGACTTTGTGCACTGAGATTAAAATTTAGAAGATTTTGAAAAATGCATTGAGAAGTTGACAACTCATGGGATAATTTACAGGAATTATTTAAGATGGTCTCCCCCTGCCCCACCAAGGAAGGGTCCAAAACCTCCCTCCAAAAGGAAAGAAAGGATGAAGCAGGGGAGGAAACATCTGGAAAGGTGAGAAGGAAAACCAGCAACATGTTGGTGAATTTTTGTTAGGAATAGCAATATTTTCAGAATACTCTTACTGCTGTTCCTGGAGTATAGCTTTCATCTTACGGGTTTGTTTCTTTCTGCTTAATGTTCTGATATCCAAGATATGAAGTGTTGTATTCATAGTTCTTAAATGACAAATCTTCCAATGGGGAAGATACCTGCCTTACGTGGTAAAGAAATACAACTCTGTTAACATAGGGAATGAGGATACTAAATGCTGAGATGCAAATGTATGCTCTTTTTGTCTTCTTTGGCACACAATATTAAAAACTATTAACTACAATGTGGGTTTGTAAACAGTAGTGTATTGTTTTGCTGTTTGTATACTGATTATATGGCTATTTTTACAATATTTTTGTTGCAATGTTTTTGATCAAAATGAAAGAAAACAGTAAACACATATTAAATGATGCTTCCTTTTGCATCGCATGAATGTTACATACAATATATGAAAAAGGCTGAATTTCATAATCTGGACTATT